GGGTGAGGGTGCCCCGTCCCGAACCCGCCCCATTGCCACCACTATTCACTTGCTGTCGGTGGTGTGTGTATGGTGCAAGTGCCGCTTTTTCGTCCCCATATATTTTACTTTTTTCACATGTACCGCAAAGTTCATATTTGTGGTCAGAATTTAAAATTATATACTTAACATCATGTCTAAATGCAAAGTTGCAAACGAAATACATAGAGACTCAAGATGGAAAATTCTCTTCCTCGCCTTCATTTTTTCCTAAGATTTCAGATTTTGATCTAAATTTAAAAACCTGACGACTTTTTCATTTTAAGTCCAAAATTTTAATTCGTTATATGGTTGTAAAGCTCATTGAAATACCTTTGTAACTATAGCAATATTACTGCACTAAAATAAATGAATAAAATACAGTAATTTTTTAAAATTTCCATGATTTTAACTAGGGTTACATTTTTCTCCAAAATTATGAAACCAAAAATTCCGAAAGCTTGCAGATATGATCCAAATCATATAGGGAATATGCTATAAAAAATTTTGAATTTATATCGCATATTTCATGACATGACATGAATGATGCTTCTATCTTCAAAAAAGGAAAAAAAAATTGCCTTACATGTATTTTTCACCAAAATAATATGCAAGTAAAACAACATTTAAGACTCTGAAGCCAATAAAAGAAATCGTAGCATGCTTGAACATAAATTTTGTTCAAGAATTCTTACTCGATACGATGACTTCCAAGATCTTTGTGTTGTTGAATCACCTTGCTAATTCATGTCCCAAATTCTACATATTTTAGCACTCCAATGGTCCCAATCCGGAACACAATGGAAGGGGATTATTATCCACAATTTAAGTGCCTAATTTTGTGAATTGTCATGCCAAAAATTTGTTTCTTCGCACTTTTCAATTTTGGTGGTAGTTTCCGTATGAATTTCACCATATTTTTTGCCATCTATTTTATCTTTTTGTCCTTTACAATTATTAGAGGTTATGTGGCGAGTTAAGGAAGGCTATGGGGAGTTGAATGTTTGAATTTCGAGTACAAATCACTCCCTCAAACCTCTTAATGTCTTGTGGGTCGGGTCATCCCATTTGGGGTCTCTTAATGTCTTATGGGTTGGGTCACCCTATTTGGGAGACCCACGACCCCTATTTTCCAGCACAATTAATGAAGCCAATTCAATGACCATGGCTGAATGAAATATACCAGTTTAGTCCAACAAAACAGACTACTCATTCTTACAATGGGTAGAATATCCATAAACCTAAGTAGACATTCTGGTCCAATTTCATTTGGCATGTACAACTCATAAAATGTTTTGACATAAATAGAATTTCACGCACTGCACATAAGTCCATGATATCTCCAAAGAAAAACAAAAACTCATGTCAAAATCACTAAAACACATTCTTGGTGAACATGCCGGTTTTGTACTTCATTCTAATCTCTGAATCTTCTTGGCCGCCACACGGTTATTCCTCGTTTCTGCAGCCACCGGTCGACAAGCCTAACAGTGTTCCCAAGAAGCAGAATTGACATCACACTACACCATACAATGAGTGCAATCACAATAACACGGCTCAGTGCTCTCCTATACTTTAATGGTGTAACCACAATAATGGATACCGCATATGTAACTGCAGTTGAAGTTATTGTTAACCACATAATCACCATCAAAATCCACATTAACACCCTGCGCCGAAAAGGCAAGCCGCTTATTAAGAGCAGGATCGTACTAAGCGATGAAACGAAGGCTACTGTGTTTGCAAGAATGAAACTCTTATACGATTTTGGATGAAGATGCGCCATTACAGCTTCTCCAGCCCTGTGGAAACGATCTGTTGCATTGTCTTGCAAGACACCACCCGGAGGGGTCACCCCGGCTTGGAAAGCCATTGTAGCAATCAGAATTGCCACCACCATTATGGAATCGCGCTTCTTGGTTAACCATTTGATTGGCTGAGTTTGAGAATTGATGGAGTTGCAGGCTTTAGACATGAGACACTTCTTGATGGACAAATAATTATTAGTATCCTTCAAATCTGTAGGAGTTTGCTCCAAAATGTCCAACGCTGTGTAGCCATTTGCATTTTTTGCATTCATATCTATGCCGGTAGTTTCCATTAAATACTGGACTGTCTGCATACATATAAATTCTAATGTATATTTGCATATAAGCCACTCTTCTAAAATGCTCGCATATACACGCTTTAAACGCAAAAATGTGCAAGCATTGGTATTAAATTTGCGCAAAAAGTAGCACAACAAAGCTCAACCCAATTTATAACTTAAAAAAAAATATATGTAAGATCAACCCAACAAACATCAAATTAGCACAACTCACTCAAGTGCATGAATTATATACAGCAATTTGTAGGGTCTTGACGTTTAGAAAAATAAAAAAATCAAAACAAATTTTTGGTAGAGTTGTAAACTTTCTATGAGAGCTTGACCTCTAGTTTTACTCGCAAATGATGTTATTAATAGACAATCTTGAATTATTGATGGTTGTGATGACGATGGGGATATTAAAAATGATATCTCGCCATCTACAAGATGTAATTAAAAAAAAAATTGAAGTACAAATAAGGGAGCCTCGTAAATATTATTTTGTTAGAGTACAGGGCATGGGACCGCTGAACCGTTTGTTACGTAGGATGGTTGAGACCACATGAAAGTCCTCATGTAGAGAGGCGTAACAACAAGTATAAAATAAAAATAATACTATACAAATAAAGAATTTTAAAGGGTTTAATCAACGTGACGATATATTGTGTCAGTGCTTTTTTGAAAACTTGCATTTCTGACACACATCCTTATCGATGCATCATGCTCCACATATCTTGGACGTGCCAATTATATGGTAAGTTGGACTACTAAAAATGCAACAGAAGTGACAAGGTGAAGATTTGAAAATCTCAAGTAAAATCTTAGGACCAACTAACTACAGATATCATAGATCTGCTGCAATTTTTCCAACATAATTAATGAATCCGAAAAAAGTTCAACTTTACATAAGACTTTGTCTTACCTCAAAATGTTTAGTCCTAACAGCCAGATGTAATATTGTATCCCCATCATCATTCTTTGCATTGACAAACTCATAATCATTTATAACCCGCATTATGACCTCCATAACCTGCAACTGCTTGTGTTTCACACACAAATGTAAAACGGTCTGGCCCCCGTCCGCCTTCTCCCAAACAGCAAGTGAACTGGTATTGATCAACTCATTGCAGACAATGACTTGACCATTAATGGCCGCGAGATGCAGTGCATTTCTGCCATGGCAATCACGGGCTAAGCACACATCAGGTGCTGCAGATACTATTGCTTTTGCAATTTCAGCATAGCCTTTAGCTGATGCTATGTGAAGAGATGATGATTGATGGGAATCTAGTTCTGCTGCAAGTAGAGGATTCCTTTGGACAATTTCTTGGACAAAGGCTGTGTGTTGGCATATTGTTGCTATGTGTAAAGGAGTCTTGTTGTAACATGTAAACGAAACTCTATCAAGAATCAATGGATCTTCTTTGAGTAAATCGAGCAAAGATTTTACGTCCCCTTTCACTGCTGCATCATAAAGCCTCTTTTCAGCCATATCTTTCTCACTAAAACACACACAAACATGCACTAAAATTACACATACATACAGCTTCTTTCCTGAGTTCAACTCTTATTTATGTAAGTCCGTTGAACTTTTTATTTTCTACAAAAAATAGAAATTTCTTGGTTATAACCTGTGCGAGAAGGAAGCATCGCAGTATTAATTTGACTGTGCAAACAAACATTTATGACAATTAAATAATCCAAATATTATAGAAAAAGACTTTGACGGACAGATTGACTTGGAAGTTGATAAGAAGTTTGGAGGAATAATCTAGTGTTATTTTTTTTTTCAATCGCAGGTGTACAGTATTATAATAAGTAATATAATGGACATTTGAATCCAGATTATCGTTACCACGAAGATTATGTGCTTGTTTGGGAGGAATT